ATATTGCAAACATTTCGACTTTTTAAAAGCAGGATTGGGATTTGGGAAGCTGCTACTTAAACATATTCTTTTGCAATTTAAAAAGATCTTCGACATTTCAGAAAACTCACTCACAAAATAGCTCAGTTGATGAGTTTGATGGCGCAACACATCGGCAAATAGCCTTCAAAGACTTTGCGCAGGACAACAACCGGCATTAAGTTAAACGTGTGCAGTTTCACTTATTTATGAAAGTTTGCCCGGTAAAATATGTCTTTGGTGCAGTGTTTAACTGCCGAGTCTGAACATCGTATATTTTAATAACAGCGTTGCGGATGAATTGGGCGCTGCTCAGAGCGCACAAACACGGCGCGGCGCCCGGCAGCGCGGCGTGGAGTGGCGCGGCCGGCGTTCCCGGCGGACTGCGAGACGCAGCCCGGGCGCGCCTCTGTTTTATGGTCCGACCGGAGAGCGTTTGTCGGTTGCAGTCGCCGCTCCGACCCGCGCCCAACCGAATTTATTTACCCGGCCGCACGGATTGCATGCCAACAAATGGCTTTATGACAGCGGCGAATCCCGACGCTATCACTTTATATGGCCGAAACTCTTCTGAGGCTAATGATCACCGCCTGCATAGATGCGTGCGCCTGGCTTTCTGCCTATTGTGAGCTAGACTGGCTGGTAAAGCTAACTATCCTGGTTTAAACTTAAATTTAAATGACTTTTCCCGCCTCGACAATGTTGAAGAAAATCCTTTGAAATCGGAGGCGCCAGATGATAAATAAGGTCATGCAATGCTGAAGCAATGTTGAATATTTATGCACTAGTGCATAAATATTATTTAAACGACTTTGGGTTTATTGACCCCTGGTATAGATTCAGATATGGCCTTATCATAGCTGTATATTGTATAGGTAATGATATTGTTTTATATCACCTTTATAGACCACTGACTTAAATGGATATTGGATGTCTTTGCTGATAGGTATCACAAGAAAATTCGTGCACATCGATCAATAGAAAGTTTTTTTTTAACATATTGAATTGACCAGTTCTGCCGGTGATGGCATTTAAACAGCCCTACCAATTGCGTATTTTAGCAGGCACGCTTCAAAACTTTGATAATATTTTGTACCGTGCCTTATGCTCCCTGTTATGAGGAAGTGGGTGACAAATGCATCCGCAAACCATATATCTTCTCAAATAAATTAAGGACAGCTGCTTCGTTTAGAGCAAAATGCCGACCAAGGAACAATGGACACTGGACAGTGTCCTACAACAGTCGGGTGACACGAATATAATCATTGACTATTAAGTTATCACCATATCCGAGTCCTATCCGAGTCCTCTGTGATAAGTCAAGTATTTGACCGTGTTTGTATTCATACTTGACACAAGGAGCACACAGAAATGGATGGTTATATGCTGATGGAATTGCGGCTCCTATTCAGCACATGTGTATTAATGTCCCCCCCACCCATAACCCCGGTTTCCCACATTTTCCCCAAGTGTGAGGGGAAGGAAGAGGATGGAAAATTGTATGGTTTTCGTCTTACATTATAAGTTCTTTGTTTTTTCATTTACTAACAATGTTATTCTTCCTTTTGTACCGATCCGCTGCACCTGCACAACTATTTTTCAAAGATGACTTTATTGACGTATCGGCGGGAAAAATCATTTAAATATCTTTTATGCGACCTTTCCTCGTTGAAATGTATGTTATGTCACGCTCGACTTGTTTAAGCACTCGTTTATAAATGAACTCGTTTCACTCGTTCATTTATAAACTCGTGCTTAAACAAGTCGAGCGAGACATAAAATGCATTTAAACGAGGTGAAGGTCGCATAAAGTACTATTTGAAATTCAGTGCACATACAAAAGAAGCTTAGTTGGGAAATACATATTGGCTTGCGGCCTGTGCTCCCGAACAAGTCAGATAGCCTTCGACATCCCTATGTACCTACACACGGTATACATTATGTTTGAGAGAAGTTTCGGTTGTTCTTTTTTTACCAGATCGGTATACAGCTGACAGACATCATAATATGAGAAACTCGAATTTGTTGCGTAATACAATTGGCATGCAACGCTTGCGTCCCATGAGGTTACTGAAAAGATGGAAGACAGCCGCCCTATTAAATTGCCTTACCTTAGTCTTCTAATTTTCTCCAGACGCCGCGATGATCCTACCGACTCCTTCGGTGGAAATCTGGCCCGTTAATTTGTCACCGAAAATTCATCATGGTTTCCAGTCTCCAATAGCTTAAGATCTACATCCGAGACAAGGAGGGAAGGCAATCACATCACCATAGAAGAATAGCTCATCTGTTTTCTAATTATCTTTCGAGCTGTTCCATTTTATGCTGCAGCGAGCAGAACTTTATCAAAGTCATTTTTATGCTGAGCTTCGATAATGACGAGGGTAGACGCCATCAAGACTCACTGAAAGACAATGTTCCTTGGGGTTCTTTAAGCTTTCAAGAGTTGAAAAGGGAGTCTAGAAAATGGGGAGAAGACGGAAAAGCAAAAACATGTAGCGGCATGACTATGGATGGAGCAGTGCTGAGTGTAATATTCATGTATAATAGGAATTCGGGAGGCAAACATGCAAAAATAATCAGACAGAAACGCAAGATATTCCTTTAAACATGAACGGCTTGATGATGCATGCTGATTGTTGATGAGCTATGCGTGTTGCGCCTTATTGTTGTGGCCATCTACGAGATAACTATGTTCAAGTATGGTATAACTGTACATTACACACGTCATTTCAAGGTGCATTTCAAGACCTATATGATTATCCCGTGCGCCGTTGAGGTCTGGCAAGTTCACGTCCTGTTGGGGGAGGGGGGGGGGGGTGGCAAAGGGCCCCCCGTCGTATCTCCGGAACCAATAGCCGGATCAGAAAAATTCAAACGGCGTTCGAAAGAGCTCATCAAGATGCACAAGATGATAGGATATCGGGTTAGTATGGGGCATGGGCGTACCTCACCTTAACCCTCTCGACCAAGCGGTGCTACGATTTTTGTAGAATAAGCTCTTGGCCACTTCTCATCCCAACCTGGAGTCGCTGAAGACTTGCATCATGACAGCATGGGAGGACCTGGAAATGCCCTACATCGTCAAAACCCGCAAGCGCTTCCGCCCTCGCGTCGAGGCCGTCGTCGGCGCGCAGACACTGGTTACATTCAAAGAACACTTAGCGGAATTATGTAGCTTGGTGTCCCTGTTAATTGTTTGGTTGATTGTTGAGTTTCTATCAACCCAAGGAAGGCATTTGTAAAAAAAAAAAAATGTTGAAAAGCGCCAGGACTTTCCGGACATGCTGTACATCTAAACCTGAGTTGTATTCTTCAGTGGCTTCTTTTGCAAAGGATGGCAAGGCGAGGCAAGGCCCAAAGATGCCACCGGCCTGAAAATAAAGGCTGCATTAAACGCCTCCAAAAAATTACTTCACCTTTGGGAGCACTATACTCACGCCTCAATGGTGAATAACAAACTTCTTCATGCTTGGTTCCACAAAAACAAATCCTTTTGCTGCGCACTTAGGCATAAACCTATCTTGAACTGCGGGTAACACACAGTTTGTGATGACAGGCATACATGTACTGGCGTACTGCCAGTATATACTGCCAACACACGGTCTGCTTTGCTACCCCGGCTCGCCCATATGGACCAGGTAACGACTAATATCCGCTCAACTGCACTCCAGGGACGGTTCGAAGCTCATCGGTTTACCTACAATAGACCAGTAATTTGCATAACGTATATGCATGTAAATGAGGAGATTTCGCGGCCGAACAATCTGCACGACGGCCTGACGATCCACGCTGAACAAACACGCCTCCCATCTCATTTGGAAAATCTCCATTTGGAAGTTGGCGGCGGGCCGTGCCGAATGCCGCGCGCGGCACGGACGGCGCCCCCCCCCCCCCGTCAGAGGGGACGGGCCGCGCGGCGGTGGTAGCATCACAGGGAGGCGGTGGTAGCATCACAGGAACCTGTCGTCACTCGGCCCAGTGTGTGCAGCAGCAGCATAACAGAGTCGATCAATGACATAAGCTGCAGAGACTGGGGTCGTCAATGATGGAGGGCACTAAACGGAGCTAGGACCGCCATTGGTCACTGTGGTAGGTACATTGCTGAACAGAAGCCGCGCTTACACAGGATTTTTGGCGAGTCTCTATAGCTTATGTATACCTACTGGCTTAGTTTCAATACGATGCTCTTCCAAACGTTGAAAGTAATCATTTTGTAAATTGCAAAGCCCCATTGGCATGTCTTGCAAGTTCACCGGACAAAACAGGGGGCTGACATCAAACCATATTGCTAGTTGTGAGTTCTTGATGCCACTTTTCACATTCCCATGAGACTATATTTCGTGTACACAGTACAAAATTGAATCCAGAAAGGCATAAAATTGATAGTCCAAGTTGAGATCTGGAGAATTGGGAGACCGGAGAGGAGGGGCGGGGGGGGGGGGGGAAGGAGTCGACCGACTGATCAGAGCAGAGCCGCCCCCGCCCCCGCCCCTCCCCTCCGGGCACCTCCCCGCCCCTCGGGTGCGCAGCGGCGCCGCGCCGCCGGCGGACCGCCAGGAGCAGAAAGCATCCCCGTGTCAAGCATTGTCGGGGGAGCCGTTCATTACGACCAACCCTCACCGCCACGTAATTAATAGGTTTATCCTGCGGCTCAGCTTTTCTCCTAGGAGACTGCTCGCGCGGTAACTTTTCCCGCCAATTTACGGAAGCGGGCCGGCGCGCCATCGAGATCAAAAGCCGCGCGCGCAATGCGGCTCCCCCGCCCCGGGAGACCGCGCCGTCAGGTACCCGAGTAGGGAGACGCTAATAACGCCGGCTCCTGAGAGGATTTACGAAATGACACAGGCAATAGCACAACTTGGATGATTTTCAATAATAGTTGGTACAAAAATAGAACACACAGCGGGAAGTTGTTTTTCACGTGCATCAAATGCGTGATATTTCACCGGAAAAAAGCAATGGTAAAACATTTGCAGACACAGGAAGCATAATTTTATTATGATATTTAACTATGCATTTTCAGTCTTTAAATTGACTGCAAGTACACAGCATCCAACGAATGAAAACAACAATAAAAAACGGTCATTAGAACAAACATATGTGTTCGTAACCGCAGGGCAGCGCCAGTTCCTCGGGCTGCTCGGGGCGCGTCAGCTCTGCCCGCGCCGGTCTCTATTTTCTGCCGACTGACGTCCAGCCGTCGTTGTCAGCCGTCCTGGCCCTGTGGCCAAGCGAGCTGCTCCAGTTGGTGAACGCCTCCCAGCTGCTCTGCCCTCTGCTCTCTCCCCCTCGCCTGCCAGTGCTGCTGCCGCGCTCCTCTCCCCTCCGTGCCGAGAACCCGCCGGCGCCGGCCCCGGCGTCTGGGGCGCCTGGATGCCGCCTGTCCAGAAATCGCAGCGTGTTCCCGGACACACTGCCAGACGAGCCGAACCGGTCTCCGGAGCTGCTGCCGAACCTCCCAGAGGACGGGGCGCGACCTGAGCTGCTGCCGAACCTCTCAGAGGACGGAGCGCGGCCCGAGCTGCTGCCGAACCTCTCAGAGGACGGGACGCGACCCGAGCCGGTGCCGGAGGAAGCCGCACCGAACTGCGTCCAGCTGCGCCCGTTGAAACCCCCGAGCGAGGTAAATCCGTCAGAGGAGCCGCCTCTTGACGGCGAGAAGCGTCCAGAGTCGCCATCGCTAGACGGATAGCTGTCTCTTGGCGGCGGGAAACGTCCCGAGAAGCTATCACTAGACGAGAAGCTGTCCCTTGACGGCGAGAAGCGTCCAGTGGAGCTGTCGCGAGACGGATACCTATCCCTTGGTGATGAAAAGCGTCCGGAGTCACTGGTTGCAGACGAAGTGAAGCGGTCGCGGTAGTCATCGTCATATGATCCGTATGCTGAATCACGTCTATCGCTCCCTTCAGGAAATCCGAACCCGCTGGTGGCTGAGGCTGAGTCGGTATCGGAGATGACGTCCCCCCAGGCCGAGTGCCGGTGTGGGACGCCGCGGTCACGGCTGCCGAAGGAGTGCCGCTCCATCCGAGGGTCGCTGGAGTGACCCCAGCGGTGTCCGCTGTCGTAGGGCGTCGGCTCCGGTAGGGAGTCCGAGCCTGTCGCCGCCGACCGATCCCCACTCCTGGCGGAGGCCGCGGACCGGTCCGGCTGGGACGGAGAGGGCCGGCGCGCGTCAGAGTACCGACTGCTGTCACAGTCGCAGACCAGGCAGCCGTCCTCGCGGCGGTGGCTGCCGCAGTCGTCCGGACACCGCTGCGCACACTCGTCACCGGGGCTCGCACGGTCAGACGGAGAGCCGCCCGACTGTGCGAGGCTCTCCCGCAGACAGAACTTGAGCGTGCAGGCCTCGCGGCCGGTGTCGGTGCACCGGCATTCGTTACAGCCGACACGGCGCGATGTGCCGGGCGTGCAGTCGGCCTGCCGGCGGCGGCGGCTGGCGGCGCCGGCGCAGCTCCGGTAGCTGCAGATCACCTGGCTGGCGTCGACGCAGTGGCACACGTTGCAGGCGTCGCTCCAGGTGACGCCCGGCTCGCAGCGGCCCCGGACGGCCGTGGCCAGCGCGCGGCCCTCGGACGAGCAGCTGACCTTGGTGCAGGCGGCCATGCCGTCCCCGAGACAGTGGCACGTGTTGCACTCCTCCTGCCACTCCTCTCCGGCGGTGCAGTTCACGTCCGACCGCTCCTCCGTCGGCTTCGGGTACGGCTTCTGCCAGTCGCCGCTGGGCGCCGCCGCGCCTCTGGGCTGCGGCTCCGGCAGCGGCAGCGGCACCGGTTCCTGGGCCTCCTCTCCGTAGAAGGTGAACGACTTGACCACCTCATCGGGCTCCGGCAGCGGCATGGGCTTGAGGCCGGTCTCTCCGCCGCGGACCCCGGCAGCCATGGTATCGGCCGGCGGGTCCCTGGCCGAGCAATCTATGTAGGTGCAGCCGGCCACGCCGTTCTGCAGGCAGAAGCAGGTGTTGCAGCCGTCGTCGGCCGTCCACACGGAGCCGGGCTCGCAGGGCGAGTTGGCCCTGTCCGAGGGGGGCACGCCGCCAGCGACGGCTCCCACCAGACACAGCAGCCACAGACGGGACATGGCTGCACGGACGTCGACGCTGACGGTGAAGTTGATGATGGTGACGGTAGTGCAGCTGCTGGTGCCGGTGCACCTGCTCTCAACACTCCCTGTCTATCACTGCGGTAACAGTATTCTGACCCGGCTTTATACAGTCATCCACTGGTAGTATTTACGCCACGTAACGACAATGACGGCTGGGACACGGCCTTTTCACGGTGGCGTCCGCCGGCCTCGCCCGGGGTCGGGTGCCGCGCTCAATGCGGCCGGCAGCAGTGACTGGCACGGGGTGAGGCGCCCTCCCGCGGCCTGTATGGCCCGGATGGCGCTCCGGTGACCCAGCCCTGCACTGGACATCCGGCACCGGGTCGGCTGCATTGTCAGGTCACCGGCGCGGCGGGGTCGGCGGCAGTTTGACAGGGTCGGGGTCCGCTCATACCCATTGTTCAGCCATGTCAGCAAACAGTTCGACGAACCGGCGTGGCGTGCGAATGTCGTTTCGCTTCAGATCGATATGGTGTAATGACATGATTGCTCTATCGGTCATGCACGGTCATGCATCGTTCGGACATTCATTAAGCGACTGCCATTAAAGTGACGTTTATGTCCCACCATAGGTGTTCGAGTGAGCAGCTAGGCTAATTTCACAGCTCATAGGACATGACTCAACGACAGGGTAAAGGTATCATTGGTTTAATCTAAAAACATTTGATAAGCATGTTGTTGCTGTTCCGCTGTCCTTTTAAAAATACAGTAATAGCGAAAAATAATATGTCAGATACGTTTAGCGATTACACTAGAGCTTTCAACTTATGTTCAATTGTTCAGTAATGAAGCAAAATTACGAATCACAATCAACGAGAGCTCATCAGTTGATCGATGCAGTCAGTGACTTATAGTTGGCCGTCAAATCAGCGAACTACTGCGGCCGTGAGTGCCTGCAGCAGTCGGCGACAGGTGCGCCTCAGTCAGCAAACATCACTCGCAGCCTTTCTGAACACTGAGCTACCTCATTTCTTTAGTTCCTATCCCAAAGCGATCCGCAGGGATCAGGATAACTTAGATACCTATCGTCGCGCAAATACAAACCAGACCCTGAACTTTATTCTAGTAGTGAGAACCTGTAGTGGATTCCTACAGTGTGACCAGCATTGTTCTTTTTTATAGCAATGCTGTAGCACATTCAATCGTCATCTATCCCATCGTTTCACAAAATTCTTCTTCGTCATTCTGTGGAAAGGAAAGCCTCCAGATCACAGCCATCTGAGGGCCTTTTAAAGCGTCGTCAAACTTGTGTTACTTCGTTGGAAGTTTCTGTGAGAGACGAACAGAAGTGCTCGACGTGCGTCGGTCGCGTGGAACAAAGAATATTGGTAGGAGCGATGACGAAAAAGAGCGACTCATCAAATGTGTGACAAGTTTTTAATGACGTCCTGAAACGAAGAGAACTTTGATGATGACAGGTTAGAATCAAATGATGTTACTCCTCGCATGCCTGGAGAAATATTTGGCGCATACTGAGCAGGCAGCCCTCAGCAGTGAGTTAGACCACAGTAGGTACAGCATAAAAATGAAGCGCTCCGAATTCTCAGTAATGCAAATGTCGTGGAAATGCAACGTACTATTCCTTTTTTTGCAGTTACCTCGCAATGAGATGCCGAGCACTCGTCACTGATTCCTTCAAAGTAGGAACAAGCCATGTTTTATGTCAATTCCGCGCACTGTAATGGAGGGCGCCCCCGCTTCGACGCGGGCCCGGTGCATGCGCCTCCCTGATTATCCGTCAATGGCTCATCAGGGCCGGCGGGGAGGGCTGTCATCAGATCCCGCTCCCGTCCCCCATATCCTCCCCGGGCTGCGGCGGCGCGCACACAGACGCCGTTTGACCGACCGACCAGGACAGAACAATGGTCCGGTGACCGCCGACACTGCCCCGCTCTCCTCTCCTC